ATATATATATATATATATGTACACGATATTGTACGCAGCACATATAAACACGATACATAATGCAACTGTAAAATACAGAAAAATAACCTAGTTATTCTTACAATTCGATTCTCCTTTTACTGAAGTTAAAAGCTAATCCAGATGTTCACTTATGCCAATTTTACGCCATGGTGTTTATATACGAGCGAGTCATTATGCGTGAGCCGTCTCATTTTCTCGTCCGTTTCTTGAGGACTATTTTTTCTTACGATAAAACAAATTATCAAATGCTCTATTTTTCTATTTCTTCGCATATTTTAAATCTATTAATAGGATCAGAAAGATGTATTAACGACTGTTTACGGGTTTATATCAATGTGACGATATATACCAATCTAATGATGCTATAGCCTAATTGCACCTGCCGCTCTATCTGCGATAAATACATGAGATTATATTTGCGATAAAATACATTACGAGTAGAGGTGCAGATTACATCAACGATAACGAGTGCATTTAGCTTCGTCACATTCACCAGATACGAAACCGCATGCATCCGCCTAAGAGAGATTGCACAATATCTATCACATTTATCATTATCGGCAGTATATTTTACCAAGCCAGGTTAATATTTCATTTCTCACAGTGACTGCTTCGCTACCGCGCAATATCAATCTTGTTTTTTCATGTATGTATTTTTGTTATAATTTTACATCCTATATCGCTTATTTACTTGAACATGCGTTTTTGCTCCTTTTTTTAAATAAGCGCATCAACGGAACAGGGCATTGATATTTTCATTCATTCTCGTATGTGTGTTTCTTTATATTTGACATATATATTTGTCATACTTTTTATATTTCTAATATCCAGCACGCGTAATTTAAAGTTATAAGTAGCTAGTAAAAACCGTCGCTGGATTTTAACATAATAAGACATAATTAAAAAGATTTTGAATAAAATTATAATTAATTATTGACGGCGTTCTAGGAATAACGCGTTGAAAAGAAATGATAAATAACATTATTTTTTATAAGAAAATAACGTTTGTTATATATTTAACATTACAAATATATCAATTTAATATACAATTTGCTCCAAAATAGTATCAAAGTGTTATATTTTTTGTGTTAATTTTTGATATAATATCTGTGTTACTTTTCAATACATTTATCTTGTGTTAAATTAACGCAAAAATTTGGGTGGCCCGTTTAGGAAGTGTGCTTTACATAAAATTTTTTATTGTGCAGTTCGTCACATTAAAATCACTTTTTCACGAGTGTTTCTATTAAATTTCAAGCACGCAAAAGCGAACGACGCAACATTGTTTTCTTATTACTCGGCAAATATTCCGATTTCATTCTCGTCTCCTGTTATCCCCGGTAACGCTATTGCGACACTTTTGTTTATTACAGATGATGATGATGGTAATAGCGAGCGACGTTCTGAATACAAGCAGGAGCTCCGAGATAGAGGAATACGACGACATCGATGATTTTTACATACCGTATGATCAACGACCCGAGACTTACATCGTGCCCGTAGTATTTTCAATAATCTTGGTCGTGGGTGTCACGGGGAATGGCACGCTGGTTCTCATTTTACTATGCCACGCCAATATGAGAAATGTGCCGAACATTTACGTGCTATCTTTAGCCTTGGGCGATCTGTTGGTGAGCATGTCATGTGATGAACGGTGTCGACTATACGATACGTTCGTTCGTTCGTTCTTTGTGTCTGTTAATCACTCGTGCTATTCGAAATACCACCACAATCCGTTGTTACAGTTGATCGTGACCTGCGTACCTTTCACGTCTATCCTTTACACACTTGAGTCGTGGCCATGGGGCTTGTCTATCTGCAAATTGTCCGAATACGTTAAGGATATTTCGATCGGTGTGTCGGTATTTACTCTGGCAGCTTTGGCAGCCGAAAGGTAAACGTTTACTACCGAAAACTTCATCGCGCCGCGTGCACGCTAAATCGCGAAATTATTAGACAAACTTCGCAAGAAGATACTACACGAGTAATTGCGGTTTGAGTTAACTTTTGTGCCAGCGTTGCGAAAATTAGTACAATCCACTTTAAAAATTAATTAACGCACGCACGGTGCATTTAATAGATTCTTTCATTAAACGGGGAACTCGTTATTTCTAAAGATCGATAACGTCATAATAAATTGAATGTTCTATGTAATATAATAATTGGGTAATTTTCGGTGAAATTAAATGCGTTTCATTGAAGCAGTTTCAATTGCATTATCTCGCAATATTTTATGCAATTATAAAATTTCATATGAATTCGACGCATCTGTTCGACTGACAAAACGGACGCATGTCCAGCTACCTAATGCAAGCGTACTGATCTCGCGATTACTCGTGGCTGTGTAAACAAGCTGATTTGTGAAAACGTAACGTATCACAGGTATTGCGCCATAGTGAACCCCATTCGTCGCCACGTAGCGGGTTTGAGTGCGAAACCGTTAACCGTTTTAACGGCATCCCTTATCTGGGTGTTAGCGATTGTCTTAGCTCTGCCAGCCGTACTCTTCTCCCATGTGCCGGCTATAGTGTTGGGAGGAAACCACAGCATTCTAATCTGCAGCCCTTTTCCCGCAGAATTCGGTGAGCAGTAATGTACATCGCGTTAACGCGAATGTAAATCGCGTTTCGAGCAATTTATATAATGATAATGTCATTTTACGCCTATCGGGAAGGAGAGAAGTTATCGACAAACTTCTCCCGATGTAACTTGTTGATGACGAAAACAGCAACTTTCACGTTTTCGTTGTGTACTTTCGTTCGCGCACGAAATATTTCATTACGTGATGTGACGAAATCGCGATCGCTGAATCCACGGGGGATGCGAAAATTAGCCGACTGCGCAGACACTCTGTTACGTGTTTTCGTATTGCAGGAGACGGGTACCAGAAAGGCATAGTAATGTTCAAATTCCTGGCGTATTACGCGATACCATTGTGCGTGATAGCCGGTTTCTATCTAGGTATGGCACGGCATCTAATATTGTCTACCAGGAATATGCCAGGTGAACTTCCCGGCTGCGAACAGATAAGGGCACGCAGGAGGGTACATAGCCATTGATATCTTTTTAAGACGAAAATCTGTGTGTTTTACAACGTTGAACGACATTCGGAACGTAATCACGTTCCGCCGAGCGCGTCACCGTGTGCATTAACTATTTCGTTTACTGCTGTAATTAACAGGTGGGCAAAATGGTATTGTCCTTCATAATCGTTTTCGTGATTTGCTTTCTACCGTACCACGTGTTTATGCTGTGGTTTCACTTCTGGCCCACCTCGCAGGACGATTATAACGTTTTCTGGCATATATTCAGGATAGTCGGTTTCTGCCTCAGTTTCAGCAATAGCTGCGTAAATCCCATAGCTCTCTATTTCATCAGCGGCACGTTTCGTCAAAGGTATGATATTTGCGTTACAGCGCGTTAAAACGAATCGTTGAAATTAACTGGAGAGGATGATTATCTCGTGAAGGTTACTAACGCACGCGTCATATCGCATTGGATGAGCAAAAATGCCGAGGGGGAAAAATTTCACGGTAGAAGAATAACAGAGCATTTACTGTAGAAACTTCCCGCTTACAATGTGAGAGAAGAATATTGAAAGTAAACTTATCAATTAAACTTATGGCGCACAGTAAAACTTGGCAAAAGAATACGTAATAGCAATTTTCTTTTACTACTTCGCGAAGTTTCGTCTGTAGCGTATGCAAATTCTCATCACGGATGTTTCTAAGAGAGAAACGTCTATGGACTTTTTCCCTGTCGACAAGCTTATCTTCTCAAGTTATTTGTGTGTGAAATATTTCCACAACGATTCATCCATTAAAGTTTTAACAAACTAGAAATTTTCCACATTCTCTCTCATATCTCTTTATATCGAAACAATTGGATCGTGAGGAACTCTCGTGCTGTTTAGAAACGATGCGTATCCCCAATCTGTTAACTCCGTTCTTTGTTTGTCGTAGCTTTAACAAATATTTGTGCTATTGTCTACCGGATGGCTGCGTCGTATGCGGCGGCAGTCGTATGGAAAGAACTGGAACTCACGGCGGCGTTGGTTCTTCTCAAAGAAGTCGCGGCATACGTGGTACGTTTTACGAGACCAGTTTCGGTTCCACTTTCCGCAGACACACCCAGGAATCGACCGGGGTATTCGAGATGGCCAGCATAGAAAAGACTAAGCCTAATCCGTGCGATCGGAGGTTGCTTGCGGAGTAATTTCGAAAGTTTATAAACCGAGCATGGACGCTGATTCAAGTTACAGCACGAATGCACTCGCGATAAATCAGCTCATTGCTAATGATGACGAGCTGAAACGGACTCAGAACGTTTCGTCGAAACGCTATAACGTTCAGGCCGTAGATCACGGATTATGGTCGAGTGACCGTAAAGAAATGCGATGACAGGTTTTGAAGATAATTCTCATTCGAGTAATTGGGCGATTGATGCGAAGATGAAACTTATAAGTGTCCACTTGTAATCTTTTTGCTTGAAGTTTGGATTTAGAATTATACGTATACGATATTTTTCACTCTATGATACAGAATCAGTATACATCTAATCTTTTTCGTATGTTAAGCGTTTACATACTCAAACTGCGATTGCGTTGTTCACAGGATTTTTCCATGATAATCTTTATTCAGAGATTAATTATGCAAATGGATGAAGCAGTGAGAAAAGCAACGGCATATTGGAATGCGCCTGATTAATTTCCTTTTTTTACATAACAGGAACTTTCTCTCTCTCTCTCTCTCTACTTCAATCTAATAAAAAAACTATCGATACTCAATTTTCTATTTTTTTCAATTTGCGTTTTTAAACGATTAGGAAAATGGACATCGAATACGGAAGTTTTAGTCTTTCTATCACTAAAACGTAGTATACATGAAGAAATATTTCGTACTATATATGCGTGCTAATATACATTTCTTGTTCAATTTAGTCGAGAAGTTATTGGCAGTTAGCTGCCATTATCCTTACATACTTTCCTCGCACTTAAAAAGACTAGGTTTTAAGGATAGATCTTGAGAAAATACGACCGACCATTAACCACTTTATACGCTGGTTGAAATTGTAAAAACAACGAAAGCCGAATTCGCTCGTTAATACGATAAATAAATAAATAGTTATCAATGGAAAGGAGAGTAAGACTAAACAATTGGAAGTACAACGAGGCACGATGTGACGCTATTCTGTCCCATGAATCTTTTATTGTCCCTCTTGTAACCGGCAGATTCTAACTCTCTGCGAGTTAAATAGTATTACAAGAACGCGCGAGAAAAGGAAACTCGTGAAAACATGAGACAAACGTAAAATTTATTTCTCGTCTTAGTACTTTAACTAGCCAGTAAGGCCGGGAATTATCTTATAATTTTTTTAAACGCACATCAATTACACTCATTCTTTTCATCTATGCCCAGTAGTGAAAAATGAATATAACTCTTACCGCCCGAATCGAAAATTCGTGAGATAATGCATCGATACCATCTGGTGCTATAATCGATACTATTAATATATCGTTTAACGAGCTTCTCAATGTTGTGTTATTTCCAAGTCAGATTTAAAATATGCTCATTAAATGCGCCACTAAAAATACAACACTGAGCTTTACAACTTTCTTAAGTGTCATTTATCTCACAATGGAGACTCAGTCTTAGGATATTTCGTGTTTTCCACACGCTTCTCGTAAGGTTGATAATTTTATTAATAAAAACTCGCTGTATATAATTTAACGAGAAAGATGCCGCCGTTCTTTCTGCGGAAATAAATTTTATCAGTGAAATTTGTTAAAAAAAAAAAAGAAAGAAGAAAACCGTCGCGGATCAACTCGGACATCACTTTTAGATCGAATAGGAATAATCGACGGGTCTGCTCGGCGCGCGTGCAACGGGCTCGTTCGCACGTGCCACTCGTCCATTCCCTTCAACAGCAGGGCACGCGCAGGGGGCACGTCGTAAAGGGTCACCGAGGGGAAAGGAAGAGAAAGAGAGAAACATGCATCTGCCGCTTTTTCAGACTTTAACGCGACGGTTGAACGACGGCTCGAAAGGAACCGGTGGTGGACCGGCACCCTCGCTCGGACCCCCACCCCTTGGCAACGATCGAGAAAGTGAGGGGGTTGTACGTAGCCGTCGACGTTAGCCAACGGTCGTTTCCATTGACAGTTATCCGCGCGCGCGTAGCGTACCACGGGTATAACGAGGATACGGAGTTTCTCGAGATAAAGCGAGGCGGAAAAGAGAAGCGCTCTTTTACAAGAAATAGTTTAGTGAAGGAGAGCAAGTTGGGCGACAAAGGGACCATTAGAGTGTCCTCACGCGCGCGCAAAATATCCCAAGACGCCGGCACATGATAACGAAGTTGATAGGACCGAGGTTAAGGGACAAACTTCAAGCGCTCGTTTTTACACGAGGGAAAAGTCACGTAAGTAATTGAACGGTATCGTTATATCTTCGGCGGTAACGCTGTAAAAGGCCGCCTGCAACAGCCGTAAAGCGGTATCTGCAGGACTTAAGCTTTTGAAGATTTAAGAAATTGGCCGATCGCAATCGATTATTCTTCTCTCACATTTGTCTGTGATTTGTCGATTTCTTATGGTTTAAGGCTACGCCTTAAATTCTCATTGTAGACGTCGCTTTACTTCATATGCTTCATTGCTATTGTAGACGGCTCTCAAAACAATCATCTCACAAGTGTTAGTTTTGTAACACACACATCCGGCCAATTCGTTCACATTTGTACCCATTTTGTTATCATTGTGTGAAAACATTAACGGTAAATATTGGATTACTTGCCATTGCAGCAAAGAAACAAAAGAGAAAAAGTTACTAAATATTTGGAAAAGCGAAAAGAATTATCAAGCGACAACAATAAAATGTAATCTTGAACGTGAATAATTTATACACGTGGTAGTGTATGTAGATCGTAAACAAAGTGTCGGAAAGCCGAGCATTAATAAAACCAATTAACTTGATTGAACATCAATATATAGAAGCGATTTCGGCGAAACGTATTAGCGGGTGTTATACGGAAAGACAAAGTTGGTATTAACCCAAATAGTAGTTTACGATGTTGTACAATATAATACGGCTCGTAGACGTAATACTACGTGAGACATGGCAAATGCAACGTTACAAAAGATTACAAACAAGATAAATAGCCGGATTCCGAATTTATATATAACGTAAATGAAATTTCATTAAAGTAATATCGTGCATATTTTACGTTTTTCTACAAAATGAATTCGTTGCGGTCATTTATGAATACGATACATAAGACACTAAATTTTTGAGTCTCATCGTTTTCTGACCATTAGGTATCCCGATCACTGGTGGATTACAGGTGTGTGGATAAGAATTAAATCAGGACATAATGAAGAGATACTCATCGGTAAGATACGTGATATGATAGAAGTAAAATATATAACAACAGCTTTGTAAAATTAGGTAAAATGTACACATTAAGTATATTATCATACGTACGAATATTTTTAATACGATGACGAACAAAAATGTATTATATCTGATTAAAATGATACGAAAAGATTTTGATATGCAATTATGCCCGATAATAGGCACCTTGTTTGGAAGACGTAGGTAACGACGCTAAAAGAACAAGAGAAGCTGAACAGCGTGCTGTAAGTTGGATCCTCCCTTACTATCTCGTTTTAATATTAAGCTCAACGAAATAACACCAGTGGGTAAATGCACAAGTTGCAACTTAATTAAGAATGTTAATACATGGGGATAGTAAAAGTTGCTGTACAAACTAGAGAAGCAAGTGGAACAACTACTCGACAACGTTTACTGAAATATTCAACAAAGTTTAACACATCTTGTAATTACACTCTCTGTCTGCAATTATTGCAGTTAAACATACTTAGTAGTAGAAGTGTGTAACTGGATGTTTTAATTTTTAGAGCCGATTGTACGTAAAACGAAAGTTACATTTTGTTTTCAAATTTCTCACGAAGATGTATAATAATTTGCCGAAGGCGAGTATAACTTCTATTTGCCTGGCTGTTGGATTGCGAAATTACTTTTGCGTTTTTGCGATTACAATACAATGAAAACTGTATCGCTTTTTTTTATATCAATCTGTTTTACATGTAGATATATATATATATATATATATATATATATATATATATATATACATATTACATCTCAGACCTCGAAATTTCACTAAATTTAGAAAGCCCAAGGTGATCGTCCTTCTTTCGTTTAACCGACAAAAAAAATGTTATAAACATTTTAAACATTTTTTTACTTATTTTAAACTCTTTTGAAAAGTTTGTACATATTAAAGATTAACCTATAAAAGTCAATGCAATTGCGCCTGATTGCTTATTTTTTTATATTTAGATCGTTATAATCAGAGTAGCTGCGATTGATAAAACGATTTGATTGCAACTGCGTACGTATAACTACAATATTTAAAATAATACGCACACATTTTATTTTCTATAAATTTATATTGTGTGTATAATTCTTAAAAAGGATATTTCCATATTTTGAATTATCATAAAATTAAAAAGCAACCGTGTATGTACTTTTTAGAAATAACAAAGTTGTGCTTAATAAAGGGCTTGCGTTTATAGCATAAGCTGAAATAATATAATTAATCAGCTGGGATAATATTTCGAAAGCGAAGGTGTATCTTAAGGATTTAGTGAGGCTAATATCGGCACAATCCCCATGTTGCATCCGCTAAATCCGTTATGCGTGTCTCATATTTCCACAGGATCCAAATGCAAGGGAATATCTCCAATTGGCTTTAACCAGAGTCCTAGAATTACAACGAGAAATTGAGGAAGGCACATACGCCACAGAAATCGATAATGGCAGCAGTGATCTGGGTAAAGTGAAACTTGTTTCGTACTTTGCTCTTCTTCAGGTATTGCGTAACTTGTGCCTTACTTATCATCAGCGGGAACTTGCACAATGTTCCTAGGGAAAAAAAGAGACGGAATCGTTTAAAGCTCCCGTAAAGTTTCGAGCAAACGTTATCCCTTTCTCTCGACTCGTCGTAATGAGTTTCCAAACGTCGCATCAGAATGATTTATTCGAGTAATTGTACAAATTAACCGTCGCAATAAAATGACATCTTTGCGAGAAGAACAAATTTATTTATCATATCATTGTTGATTGTGTCATGTTGTATAATGCGAGTATCTTAAAAAATTCTGTACGCGCAGTAAAATGGCGAGTGTGTGAAAATTTATAGGCGAAACGATGTCGAAACATCTACACGATTAGATGGAAACTGTCCTTACGAGATGTCCTGGCAATTTTATCAAATTTACGCGTGCTTCTCAACGCGACGTGACACGAATTCCGTATCTATTTGTGTGACACGTCGAACGGACTAAGTTACTTGATTCGTCGTCCGAACTGCTTGCGTTTTGCAAGTCTGACAAATTAATATTAAAGAAGGTTAAATGTATGTATTGTTGAATTCTAATCAGAAAATAAGTAAAAGGAAGCAAAAAACACCTCGAAGATATATACTTTTTTATTTTTTATTAAATATTTTAGTATGTTTACGTATCTATTTATTTTTAATCCTGAGAAACCTTATTTCAGAAGTTTCTTAAACCAAAAGTATAAGGAATTAAATGTGTTGCGTGGACAACATCTTTTGCATTTGAGGCTTTGCTTTTGCATGTAACTAGTGTTGAATCTAACTTTTCATTTAAAAGTTGATTCTGAGACTGTCTCTGATACATCTTCGTTAATTTACAGACGTATCGGGCAGTGAAGAAGATTTAACAAAGGAAATCCTTGCCAAAGTGTTCCAAGATCTACCCGGAACGTCCAATTCGATCGCTAAGATAATAGACAGAGAGGCACTATGGAGAAGTCGTCGTATAGATGGGATCCGCAATAAGAGGATACAATTACTGGGTTTCGATACTTGTCGGAGAATGACCCTCGAGTTCATGAAGACGGTAGTGCGAGAAACACGAGACAGATCGTCGTTAGAAGTCGGTCGCTACGATTTATCTGTACCGTGGGACGAATCGCTACGCTCGAGAAACAGGATTCGAGCGAGCGATTTGCGGGAATCCAGTGCGATCAATGCACAAGAGATTCGAACAAGAATGCTGAGAAGTCTGGATTTGCATTTAGCCGCCAAACAAAGAGACTACACGGCCAAATTAATGAGATCGGCTATATAGCTCTACGTACCCATTATAAAGCACTTTAAAGAAAACGAATCGAAGAAATTTCTAAATTATATTCCGCTGAGTGTGCCGTGTTGACGGTATTAATGCAATGAAAATCTCTGCCCGACATTTCTTATTCGGAATATCACATCCACTTGGATATTATCAAGATATTTTTTCATATATCGTGGAGAATTCCATCAGACGAGTATTATTTCCTTTTAGGAAATCTTCCAAAAATATTGACAGATCGTTTTGTGGGCGATATGCCAAATGTTATAAATGTCACTCGTTCGAATTAATAATAGGTTAAATGACGTACTTTATTTATCCGATATATCAAATCCTATTTCTTTTAAGCGAAGTTGTAGCACTTCGCTTTTAGAATAGAAAAGATAATTGATCTCAGCTCTTGTGGTATTTGCGAAAACTTATCTAGTCATACGTAAAGATTGCTAGTCATAGCTTGCATCATTATTTTGCGAAGCTATTTATTTATTTTAGGAATGATAGATGCATCATAGAATAGTAGGATCTATTATCCTATTCAAATTTTACTTTTTAAAACTTTATAAATCGAAATATATGTGTATAACAATTTAATATAACGTTTTAAAATATCTTCATATGAATAAACAATTTGATATATTCGTAATATTCCAACACATTGACATTTATAAATTCCCCTCTTGCTCCATATATTATATGTAATTTTTAATTTTTATAGTTAAAAAAATAATTGAATCGCGTAAAACATCGTGTGAAGATGAAATACAAGGGGTGAGATTTTGTAAAAAATGTTTATTCAGAGTGTACAAATGAAAAACTTAAGATTTCCAAACTCTCTGTATGAATAACATGTCTTAACTCTTGTATATATTACAGATTATAGTTTACCTCTCGTTGCGTTAGAGTTACGAAATATTTTGCGATCGAGACGTCGGAAGATCGACTAGACGTTCGTGTTAAAGAGGAAGACGTACATAACACACATAAACAGGTTTTCTTAAAACAAGTAAAATTATCGAACTATAATAATTTCCGGAAGTGCGGGTTCTGTCGTCGAATCTCAAGGAACCTCGCGTTCACTTATTATGCGTGTTTTATGCGGCAAACTATCATAAAAAAACACACACGAAATAAAATGCCGGCGTATGAACATTAATTTATCTATTTCTCCACAAAATACCGCCTATTTATCAACATTATAATTACACTGAAATGATCGCAAACCCATGCAACTTGTAACATACAATTTTCGAATTTAAAGAACTCAACACACGACTAATGATTCGCGACTGTCAAAATGCACGTGTATCGTTACAACGTCCGATGTTCTGCATATCACATCGCGCGTGATATTACGCTGAAAACACATTCTAATGTTAAATATATCTACAGATTAACATACTGAATTAAAAATATCTATATTGCAGATGCAATGCAACATATTTATACTAAATATAGAATTTGCTGCATTTTTTCAATTTCACGTAGAAGTATCGCGCGCAATTAAAAGTAAATTATCAAGGAAATCGGATCTAAGGAATTAAAGACCCTGTCACTCGCGATATGCTCGATAGAGTCTCCCTAGAACTCGAAATTATCAGCGATGTTTAACCGATATATGAAGATGGTCATTTGCTGCTTTATTTCTTATAAAGTAATCAATAATATTTTCCGTGTTCTTTGAGTGACACAAAAACACCGTCTGAAGCACATGAGAGAGCTGCGGGATATAAGTAATATGGCCATGGAGCATTTTGACGAGAAAATTTTGTCATACCTGAAGCATTGTATATTTCTACTTTTATCCCAACTCATAGATGTAATTATCCTCGAAGACAATGAATACATAATGAATAACTTGATATTTATAAACTACGAGTAAAAATATACAGACATTGCATTGCTGATTAAAGTATAAAACGCATTAATCGTCATAAACAAAACTGCTACATGGTGTTACATCTAATATATATATATATCTTTATAAAAATATAAGAATAGAGTCTTAGAATAGTCAGATAAATATTCTACCGTTTCGAACGTCGTTACAAAAAGAGGCCGGACACATAATTAATTCATGATAATATGAAAGTCGAGTGTTACACGTGCGATAATTTCCGTATATTCGAACGTTTTCACCACTTATTCGTCTCTCGTTATTCAACATTATTACTAATTCGATGACATGTATCAACAAAAGAGGAGATAGTGCATCCGACGGAAATACTAACGATCACAGTACAGAATAAAAGTTTCGTAACGTATCTTAACCTGTTAACCGAGCGGGACGTATAAATACGTCAAACGTAAACAATATCGGGTACGGGTAGGACATATGAATACGTCCTTGAAATATGTGTTGCGCCCTGAAACGCCCGTTATATGTTGCGTAATTAAAAAAGGAATTCCCCGGTTAACAGGTTAAGGGAGAAATTGCCTTTTGAAATTCTAAAGTACGAAAATACAACGATTTCAATTTTCAATGTCCATAATTTTTTTGCTCCCCCCTCCCTCCTCTCTCTCTCTCTCTCTCCCTTCCTATCACAAAAAATTTTCAACTTTAAATTCTGCTCTTTGTAGAAATCTATAAACGTATATGTTTAACGTGACAGGTGGCGCGCTTTATTCCATATTAATCTATAACACGAATTACCGCTCACATTACTCGTGTAACTTTACGAATTACTAACGTAACGTAACATCACGCGATGCGCCGAGCGATGGGCTTCCAATTGCTATTCATGGAAGAGGCGTGTCGTAGTATCGTAGACCTGTCGTCGAAGTTGATACAAGATATTAGCGGAACTTCGCCGACGATCAGTGTCAAAGATATATGTTCGGGTCTGTGCGTGTTCCCCATTAAACGGAAGATCTTTCTGACTAAGATTCGTACCAAATATCGCTTCTACGTGTTAAATATCGGCCGAGTTGGCGCGCATGCAAGATAAGAATAATCGATTCGTTTCAGCCGCTGCTAATGAGATAACAACTCAATTTCCTCCCGTACACAAGTGAATTATCCCCTTGAAACTACGGACAAATCTACTCGGAATAAATAATTCCAGCAGCACCAGCATGATGCCGCAGCTACTTGTTGACTTAAGCTAAGCTTATTTCGAACTTGGCGCAAATCAACTTATGAACGTTACTAACTTTAACCGAAGTAGGTAAATCGTTACATCACGTCGACTCCATCGATCGTTTTGCATCTTTTCTTTCAGCTTCGCATAAAATTCCTTCCAGGAGAATTATATTCTTCGTGTTTCACTTCTATCCGTCACTATTTTCCGTGCTATTCATATTGTGCTTTACAAAATATTTGGCAATTTCTGAATAAAGAGTTTGCGTACACCGAGAGAGCTATGCCATCGGTTAAGTATCACCCGTTAGAGTAAGGCGGTTCACAGGATCTAAGATGTGCAGTTAATCTCGCGGATCGCTCGCGAGGAATCATCGGTGAAGCACACGGTGTTTCAGAATTCGGCTTACGCTACTTTGGGGATCAAGCTTTCCCTTAATGCTGTTGCACCAGAGTGGGTCCGTTGCCAGGATTCCTCCAAGGGTCCGGTATGTCGAAGTGCGCGGGCACTGTGATCAGAGCGTCGGCCGCAGTGCGGTCGCCGCTGCAATTCTTCGGCTTGACGCGAGTGGTGTCGACGCATTCGATCGGCAGTTTGATGAACTCGAGCTTGTAGTAATGCCCTTGGCTAGTGAGGCGGATTATCGTGTGCAGCGGCACTTCCATGTAGGGCACTTCCTCGGGTTTCTTGTCGAGGAAGAAGCCGATGATGCATCGCAGAACCGCTTGGTGCGACACCACGAGCACGTTGTTCGAGCGCTGCAGCTCAGCGATCACCGGCTCGACACGCTGCATCGCGTCGATGTAACTCTCGCCCCAGGGATAACGATAACGCAGCTTGTCCTGGTCGCGCCACGCGAATTCCTGTCGCGAAATTACGTCGGCTCAATGATATGGAGCGTGAGATCGACACCGCTGTACAAGAAGATGTACACGCGAAAAAATATCATTCTACTGCTAAGAAAAGCGATTACTCAGTTTACTTCCCTTCTCTTAAATAATGGTTACCTTCAAATGTTTTCGTGAGAAAGAAAAGTAATTTTTAAGTATATTCAGCATAAATTTGAGAAAAGCTTGTTACCACGTGTAGCATAAAATTATCTCGTCATCGTTCATCATCACAACAAATGATGATTTGCTCAATGGACTAAACAATTTTCTTCGTTCCAGACAACATTCCGTTGATTCTACCATCTAGTTTATTTTCTCAGTGCACCTTCGATAAGAATCGGTTACTTTGGTCCATGAATCAAAGCGCTAAACATTTATCGACTGTGTAGATTCGTCGTCACGTAAGATCTCAGCTAATTAATCGTCTCGACTGTCTACAAGTACCGATGAATGATTACCTGCGGATAGTGCTCTTGCATCTCCTCGTAGGAGAGGCCCTCGCACACCCCCGCGTGAAGCTCATTCAAAGCGGCCACGTGCTCTTGAGGAGCCTCGATGCCCCGCGCCGTTGCAATTGTTCTGCGAAAGCGACTGGTGAGAACTCGAAGATCAGGGATGCGCATGGCGTTGAACTTGTTCGACAACGCCTGTGCGTATCGCTCACCCCTGCCGCTTAACACTGCGTCGCCGCCGATTTTGCCGAGCACGTTGTATTCGCTTTCGCCGTGCTGCAACAATATCGTTGCTTAAAAACGACGAAAGAATGAATGAAACCGAACGAATTTTTCCGCGGGAGAGAAGGTTCACTTTTAATCCCTTTCTAATCCCTTTTTCATCACACACATATTGCTATATAAACGAAATAAAATATCGAAGTAAGGACTTGCAAAAGTTTGTCGTATTTTTCACATCTTTTTTATTAATAGAGCACAAAAAAATATTAGAATCAAGTAATTATCTCTTTTCCAGTCTTTTAAATCAAGTTATATTTTTATCAATTTAAGTATATTTTAATAGCTTGTGGTAAATACATAAATGCAGTAATAGCTTATTTTGTAAATGTATTACTGGATATTAATGTAAAATGTTCCTAAATTTAAGATAGCATTTAGCTGGAAATATTCCTTTTCTTGAAGTAACCTAGTGGTTTTAAATTCAGATGTTTCTGTCCAGAGTAAATATTTTCTAAAAATAAATTCTAATATTCTCAATATTATGAATGTAATACTTGTCGTCGTTGTTTTAACACATACAAATAAATTGATAAAAAAGAAATATCAATTATATTTCTACTTCTAATAAATATCTGCCAAGGAATATTGGAATAACTATTTTACTTGGATTAAGTAAATATTACTTGAAGAGTAGCACTTTATCCGAAATATATCGTGCTCAATTAAATCTGCCATTGTTATCTACCATTTTCTGCCACCTGTTAGGTGATCATCTGATTCCGTGTCTGTAAACTAACTTATCTTTTGAGCCAATTCGTCGACGAGCCGTAATACCGTAATAAAACCTCCGCCTTAATAATTGTATTAAACTAATCTGCTTACTCTTGAGAAATAAAGAGTGTGCGGTTTAAGGATGATGTCTCCAAGATATCCGAGCACCTTAGTTTCAATATGACCGGAGACCTGGCAAGTCTCGATATCCATAGTAGCGGTGTCAATCTTGATTCTGGGGTAGGATCTCTCGTACATAGGCTCGTACAATTCGGCATAATAAGCGATCTTCGAGCGTAGGTACTCCGCGACCAAAGCGGTATCCGCGTCGGCGTAGTCGGCGTTGTGTTTCACGATCTCTTGTTGGTTATGCTGTAGGACCTTTGAGTCACAGCAAACGCACTCGATGAAAAGGACCCGATAACCGAGTTGACCGGAGAAATAGTCGTAGACTTCCGTGCGCTCCGCTTTCGTGATCAGCATAGCGTCGAGGATCTGGAAACGGGAAAGCTCTAGAGAATAACCGCGATACGTCGCGTACACGGAATCATTCCGTTAGCATAACTGAATTTTCCGTTGCCTGGGGACCAAATGGAAACTCAGTTGTAGCAACTGTAAGGTTCCCGTAGGAGCTTCCTACTCGGTCAATTGTTTTCAGTTGTCCGAACAACACTTTAATACAGCAAAATATTTGCACGAATGTTAATTTCTAATCTTCTTCGTCATTTTATTTCTTCTCAATGAGTTTTTATCTGGCCTCTATTCAATTGCAGAAACTTTGTTATGTTCCCGTGCACGGGAAAAACAATTTCGTATTGGTGTAACTGAATTTTCCGTTGTCTAAGGACCAGCTAAAAACTCGTTTGTAGGAACAGAAAGGTTCCTGTAGAAGACTTCTGCTCGATTAATTGTCTCATTAATTGTCTGCTCTCAGTTGTCTCAACAAAGTTTTCTGTAATGTAATTCTTTCGGACTAAAATCGCCTAACTGATGTTTCATTTCATTGCCGTGCAGTTCTTTACGCAAATTAAAGTCGGCTAAACAATCCGTGATCCTGATGAAAAGATCGTTTCTCAAAAATATCACTGGTTCTTCACAGACCTCGTGAATACAAAGAAGCTTTGATGTCTCTGAACACTTACCGCTACAGTATTGCCAGACGCGAGCCACGCCGCGCAATCTTGCATGGCATCTCTCTGTGCGAGGATTCTTATAGTGTTGCTCGTCGTATGATCTAATCGGAAGAACGTGAGATCATGAGATGTTTCAGATTCAGGCTGCTTTCTTCGATAATCGATCACGTGGAACGCTGGAACACAAAATTATGGTAATGAGGCTCTCAAGTTTTCTCGAAATTAACATCGCGAGCGAATGAACTTTTCGACCTGATATTGAAAAAATAAACGTGAATATCGAGGATATTAGTGAGGAATATTTACAGAATAGTTTGAGCTAGATGGTTCGTGAGAATATTGTTAGGAAAGTAATGATTAATATGACACAAAGACACAATTCGACAAATCTGTACTAAATATTTATGAACATGATTTATGATGGATGTACAGCTTTGACACTATACCAAGAGAATATCAATCAAATTTACATAATGTTTAAACATTCATAAAGAAATAATCGATTTTCGTGCTTTGATATACAAGGTGTCTGTCGTTAAATTGTAAAGAACTTCTTTTGTTCAGAATAGCTTAATCCACAAGTATCTGACAACCGTTGTTGTATCCAACGACAGACATCAGTATATTAAACCTGAAACCTCGAATTATTTTAAGCAAAAAAGTCCTTTATCATTATTTACGTACTGATTATAGATCTTTAAGGTTGCTCAACCATTTTATCTTTAAAATGATACCTAACTAAAAGACATGAAGAGAAATATAATATTGTCTACAGGTTCGCTGTTATATATTTCAACCGTTGTCAGAAATTGTATACTTCACATATCAATTTCTGGAAGACTAAATGATCAATAATGAAAGCCGTTTTCGTACCTGTGATACATGTAAATAGTGATTAATGATCAATTATGTATTTACCTTTCGTGGGAATGCCATTCCAGTTGAGTCGGCGAGCAAGGCTCTTTCCTATCTGGCTTTTTCCGCAAGCCGGTAAACCACAAGTGGCTATGACAACTCCCGCAAATTTACGCGATGACTTCGCCACTCCCGGCATTCTCGCAGTGGCCTTCTCTTTGCCGGGCTCTAAATGAAAATAGACAATGGAACATCGAAATCTGTATCGCTATTTCTTGACCTTTCCAACTTACTTTAGTTCTTAAAAAGTGAAGCACGTAATTACAACAACGTGCAACAAGGTACGGCAAAGATAAAAATGAATGTTAAGGATATATTTGCACCGAAATGACGCACATATAATTTTTGAAAATAACAGGATAATGACTAAATATAATACTGTTAGTCAGAGCTTCGTTGAATAAAACACTTTGCTGCACCAACGGAAATTTGGCAATACATCTAACCAGACACGAGTCGTACTAACATGAAAATTATTAAATATATATAATCCACGATTTGCACAACATAAAAGCATGACGTTCGCATTTGCGAGAACATAGTGTGGAAACTCGTGCTTCTTGAAAATAACATTAATCGTAAAATGTTTACGACAGGTAAGCACCGAAAAATTGTGGAAGTGCACAAATAGGAGGGTCGCACAATTTTGCATTATTAATTAGCTCAGATTTTTACATTGAGACGCATATTTACGGAAATCTAATTTATACAAAACGCTCTAATGTATAATTATGTTGTGCATTATAAAATGTCGTGTCATTTTGTCATGTACAGAAAAATTTCGTATTGTGACGGTTATTTTTTACAGAATATATAGAAATATATTTTTCGTGAAAAATACAATAGGGATTTCAATAAATCTATAAAATTTATGGATACACTTTGTAGAAGTGTAACAACGGGGAAATCACAGATCTTTTTACTATCAAATTACTGCGATTAAGCAGATTAGTCAGAACGTAACGAGAGTTTAATTAAGATTCCCAAACATTTAATATCAGTAATTTACAAGAAAGAATTATTATTCGTGCGTGTTTGAGAAAAACAATTATTTCGCGGAATATACACGGTTTTAAACTCATAAATAAAGAACGTAGCTTGGAAGATACATACAGTAGACTCTCGCATAACGCGAGTTCTTACAACGCGAATCCCTATAACGCGCCAAAGATATTGCGATTACTGTTTTCATATAACGCGATTCTTCGTACAATGCGCCGACTTCTTTGTCTGTTTCATCGCCGTTTTGTTTTTTAACCCGGTCACTCTTGATATAACGATAACGAAAAGTATTTTTCAATTTTAAAAATTTTCATGAACAATACATAAATTTGTATAATTATACTTTTTTTTTATTTCAATGAAATTAAAGATTATTTTTAGTTGGCATAGCAATAATCATTTTAAACATGTTACTTTAGATTATACGCGTTATGCGAGAAAAATTCCCGTACATTTCCTATAACGCGAATTCATATAGCGCGTAACGTATTAACCCGCGTTATACGGGAGTCTACTGTATTATCGAAAAAATTAATGCGTGCATAAGTAATATATTTTTTAATAATATATTTTTATCTCACAATATTTTTCTTTACGACCCACTTCTCCCCAAAAATATCCGAAGATAAATACAAAAAATAAAATCGATGATTAGGTTAATTATCAATTTTTTCACGCAAAGTGTACGTAAAATAATATTGTTTTACCTAATATATACATGTTTTCACAAATCGAGAGTATTGCTAAGCTGCCTCCGATAAGAGTGATAGATAAAAAGAAAAGAAATTGAACGTAATACTCGCAAAATTCGTTCGTTCTAGACTCTGCACAAATCTAACGTTTACTGATGTGTCAAATGAGCGGACAATCGAATGTGCGATGCCTCATGTCCCACCAGGAGCGAGCTTTATATTTAGAATTGCGAATGCGCATGCATTGGCTCTACTTGGCCTTCCCCGTGCGTTACTGCAGTCGAAGCCAACAATGGTTCACCTTTGAAACGCGATAAAATTCCAATCGCCCTATGTTCAAGGAAACAATTATTATTTTGATTTCTTTAAATTCCGCGAAATTTTTTACTGCGTCCATTTGTTACCAAATATTTCTCCACAACATTGTAAGTGTTATAAAGAACCAGATTGAGTAAATCATTATTCATATCAAATGTTATGTCAATAAAACAATTCGTTAATAACGGTATGGTTATCACCGTGACTCTTGGATAACCCGTGTCGCGGTCACCCGTCAAAGCGGAACATTATGAAACGGAAGATAACGCGAGAAGTCCAAAAAATACGTTATTTAAAAAGTTTAATTACTCCATATTTATGTTCGAAATGATAATTTGACCCTCGTGACCCTAGTTCATCTTATCTACACAACCAGATAAAGAAAATATAAAATTGCGTTTTTAATTACCGCACACATAATGTGCAAAATTATAATTTTATCGTTGCCAGGAAACATTTTTAACTTGTGCGTTCATAATGCATGCGACATATATACTATTATTTACAAGGGACAATATTGTATAATTGGGTGGCTTATAATTAATTTAAGTTTAACTTTATTTTAACAGAAATTCGATTCAATATTGCTAAGTTTTACCACGAAGTATTTCATATTAATAATTAAATTATTAACGATTTACGAAAAGTATAATATCTTGTCATTTAAATATCTCCTTTATACCGCGTAATAAATTCCGATATATTCTGTACATATAATACATTAAAAATTTGCAAAACTTGAAATTCTTCATCACTTGCAAAATACGAAAAGCTAATAATGACTTCTTTCTGATGTAAGAAACGATTATAATTGAATATGGTTTCCGATAAGGTAGCGATAAGTTATCGATTTCTCAATGCCATTCTAGAACGATAAATCGAACATACGCCATAGTTTACATAGAATTATCGCAGAAGTGCGTGAAATTTAACTTTCAGAAAGAGACAAATCTCTTTTTATGAAATATTCTGCAACTCAAAACGAAGATGAAACTGTATCAGATATAAATTCATTCAACCCGCTCTCGTTGCTTTGCAGAAATGTTGTTCTGTGACTTTAAGAATAAATTTTATTATAATTAACATATAAATAACATATTTTACAGAGATGATCCGGCGCATACTACTGCGATCCCTGTTTATTCAGATCCTTTTGTGAATTTTTATGAATACTTTATGTAAAAATATACGTTTTTTTTTTTTACACTTATCCTTTCATCGTGAAGACTGTTAACTTCAAGAAACAAATGGATGTTGTTCACGTAAATGATTTAACGTGACTAAGCAGGATATGACGTTACGCATAATAAGATTCGCATTATGTAAGATTCGCATGTCGCATTTACATTTGCATATGAATTTATTCATTATTCTTTAATAACCCTTTTGAAAATTTCCAGGTGAATTCCGACGGAAATCCGAGGGAACTTGTGTGAATCCATAATAGGATATTAAAAATCCATATAGAAATATGGTATGTGAAAATTCATATAGAAATCCTCATGGATTGTTACCTAGGACCTGAGTTTTTGACAGAAATTCTCAGAGACAAACATGAAGTTCCACGGAATTCCTGCATGGATTCCCATCTGAGTTTTCTCAACAGGGATATGTCTTAATTATGAGTAATCTCACACTTGAGAGTACGCAATTTATTAGGGGAATTATATTTCAAATTAAATAACCATCGAACGAATTCGATACTAGGTGAAACAATGTACTCGTATGTTGAACAATGTAATAATATAACGCAACAGCAATTTTGCAAATAAGTGTATGATGAAAAATAATATGTTGTAGCATAAGCGAAACTGACGAAAGGATCGCTCCACGCTCGCGTGTTTGCGTTAACGCGTTGTAAAAATCTAATCTTCATAAAGCCGAAGATTATTTATCTCTTTCTCATATATCGATAATTTGTCAGAGGCGGAGGTTGTACAGAGAAAATAAAAGTAGCGAAGGTTAATTTTATGGACCACATCCGTGTGTTTATTTATATCCCCGGTAATTTTAGCTACCGCGCATCTTCCCTCGTTTATTTAGGTAATAAGAGTACAATACGAGCTGACGCGTGTTCTTTGTGGAATTTCATACACGAAAGATTCGATGCTTTCAATTGTACGCAGCGAAAACAGAAATAAGGTGAAAACAAAAAATACGGTAAAAGCACAAAACAAACAGTGGTGCGATATCGCAGACGACGACCTCAATACTCGTTGTTTTCCTTTCACTTTTCATCTCCTTTGAATTTCATTAAACCGGCTTCCACGATCTAACGTCGAGAAAATCTGCGCCATAGTAGGTATATCTGCGATATACATATTCTGTGTGTGCATTTTGAAATATCAAAATTCATGTTCCCATTCTTCTTATCTGCCCACCCACCATATATATAAATATTCATATTTTGCGTACGTTATCAAAACGTATCAAGTAGTTCAACGATGAAAATCTTATCGATGAAAATCATGTTAGAACGAGAAAAAGTCATAGTCGCTCAAAAACTTTTTTCGTCGTGAAATATACCAGCAAACGTTGACATCACCGAAATAATTAAGTAGTTGCTAATATTTAACAGTTAATAATGTCACTTCGTGATCAAAATTTTGTCAAAACTTCTGATTTATTGCTTCTTACAAAAAGCGTGCTCATATCTTATCTATTTTTCACAGAAGTTTTCGGTGCAATATTTTAAACAGAAATAACAACAATATTTTCGTTGTATTTCGTAATTCTTTGCTGTAGAAATGATTTCTCTTTTGTTCTATCTCGAATTACGTAACAAAGTGTTCTCCTGACGTGTCTGAGTCGTATCTGAGCGAGTGTTGAATTTCTTCATACATTCGAAGCAACAGCTCGTAATTCAGTTACTTGATCGTTTAGATAATCCATTTTATCCGCTACGTAGGAACGTGGTATAATAAGTCAACACCCTCTCTTCGCGAGAATCGTCAAGTAACTCACCCCCGTGTGAAATTTTACCTTGACGTTGCTCTTCCGTATTAGGGACCATGTTGGTTGTGATGCCGGCGTTCAGGAGTACCTCCGTCTTGGACGTTTGCTTTCCAACAAGATGAATTTTTTTCTCTCGCAGAACACCGACCTGCAGGGCAAGCTTCCTGAGCGCGATACAATAACCCAGTAACGGAGTCGCCGGCAAATCAAAACACGCGACGACCCAGGGCATAACCGAGAGACCCTTATTAGGGAGGGAAACCGGTTCACTGGGTTCTTTCTCCCTTCCTTATCTCTTCTATTAATGTATGACCGGTCGATGGTTGATTAAAGTATCGCCCGATAGAAAAGGAAGCCCGATCACGTGCCGCCGCTTCTACTCTAATGGCGCGTTATCGCGTCAGTCTGGTTCCTCCGCTTCCTGGTTCGGCTAAAGTTCTTCCGAAAAGTGGTCGCTGCTCGTGTGCCGTATTATAGACGACAGATCCTCCCTCATTCCAATTTGCTTGATCCTCACCTCCGGAGCCAGTTTGCGAACTTCCTTGGGATCGGTCAGAGAAAAGCCCAGGTCTCTGGTTGGTGTGCCGCGTGATCCTCTGTCACTCACAGCACTCTTGCTATCGACGATGATATTCCCAGCTGGTGTCGACGGCAGTGCGCGCGCGCGCGCGACGGTATACACCTGCTGCTAATTTACATAGCAACGCCTTGCTTCCGAGCCTGAAGTCGCGCTCACTCTTCGTCGCAGTGAGAGACTGATTTTTCCGTTTCCCGCTACCTTTCGACAAAACCGGATGGACGCACTATCGGTGTAGGTAGATACACCCAGCCGGGAGAAATTTCAACGGATGCTTGAGAAGACTTCTCGTGATACTACTCGTCGGTTCTTCAGCATTGACTCGCAGAGAGAACACGTTCTGTCGCGAATACGTTCAATCGAGGACGGGCTCCGCTCTCTTGAGAAACCGGCCGGTCGATAGGCGCTTCTCTGACGACTAGTTGTCTGGCTCCGCCGCGGCTTTTAGCAGCATCGACCAGAACCCAGCGAGCGAGCGTACTCCGTTGTGGTGAGCCAATGGAGTATCAGCTGACCCCTCTACCACGACGTCGGATAAACTTGCGCACGTTGGGCAAATATTCGCTTTTCCTCGTGGTCGTAAGTCGACGCTCTGTGCTATTCATCACGAAAGTCGCGGGCTATTTATTAGCCTAGGCTGTTCGCATAAACAGAGAATCCTCTTCTCATGCTAGGATTATCATGCGAATCGAATTTTATTTTTCTAGATTTTTGCCGATGATCATTCTTACGCGTCAGAGCTTTTCGTGAATTTAAGCGGTACAGCCACGTCCGGTGTTACTACACGATGATCCCGGCGACCTACGCTGTTGACGACAATCTAACACGATTGAGATCGTAAATTATATATATTACGCCTGATGAAACCGCCGCGCATTTTTCTTGGCTGATTGCGAGTCCAAAGTCCACGGTTGTTTTTCCTATTTTCACGTAATCGTTTGGCAAACGACCGCCCAGGCGCGTATGCATTCGGCGTCACTGAGTTAAATGAGGAGACGTCGGATCGTTTGTGTCCTGACCCGGTTACATCACACATATACGCCAATATGTCGGGCAGCTTTATCGGCGCGGTGAACTTTGGAACCTGGTTTTGGTATAGCGTCTTTCCGAGGAAAAATGGCTGTTACTAGGAAAATTCTGTGCGTATGCACCTCGGATTAATATTAGAAACGTGAGCGAAACGCTTATATATGCGGGAAATTTAATTTTTCCGAGAACCTTTTGAAATAATCAATCGAATGCTCAAAAATACGAGGACAATCGATATCAGCGTCTTTTGCGAAATAGCTATAAATAAACGTGCTCATTCTGGAGGCGTTAACACGGGAGGAAACTTGACCGAAAGATATTTTCAGATTAAAGAATGATTATTGCCTCGGAAAAAAGGGAGATTGTATTTTCCTTGTGACGTTTGATAATATCCTTCTGTTGATGAGAACTATCATAAATTTACGGTTAAAAATTATTGTTAGCGTAATTTTTATTATTATCATAATAATATATATTATTTTATTATGCATATATCTTTATCTCTATGACTTTTGTTAGCGCATACATTATGTGAATTTTTGATGTATTAAATGTTTTCGTAAACCGACGGAGAAAAATATTGTATTTGTAACTCCTTTTTACGATGACAGAACGCATCCCAAAGTATGAGATTTTTCTTGTTGCACCTACGTAAAGAGCGACGTCAGAAGCTTAACTTATTAAATGATAACAGGGAAGTACATGAAACGTATTTTGTCTCTGCACGTGATGAATGTTGCTTCGACGCGTGATAAAGGTCAAATCTAGCGGAATGTAACAAAACGAAATTATGAGACTGCGGTCGCGATTAGCCGCGAGCGTTCTGTTGTAATAGTATGTTAGCATGCATCCGCGTATAACATATTATTCTTTGACTTTCAATAACATATATTATAAAGATTCATGAAATTTAATTTTTATTACCTTTCTAAGGAGGTTGGTCACTTGATCTCCTTTGGGACTGATTCGCCGATTTATATATGAACAGAATATCCTTTCTTATTTTTCCAAGTAATATGTAATATGTCTCTTAATTCGTTTAGCTTTATTTATTTTTTAATACACCCTGTATAGCTATAGTAAAATTGTAATCATAGTTGTACAAAATACTCTCTCGTCAACCTTCACATGACAGTTTATTGATATAATTTACTTTTCATTAGTTAAGAGTCAATTTGAATTCCTACATTGTCAACGAAGCTCTATGTCGAACTAACTGGAAGGATGGTAGACAGGTCTGTACGTAAATTTTCCGTAGCCCTATGTTATTTAAATATCAGAAATAAGGAAGTTCATACACGTTCAGCATGCTTACAATAAATAAATCCTATCATTAATGTTCATAGTGGGAATTCTATCCTGTGATTCACTCGTATTTACGAATCAATTGACGTGAATTGAATCAATTTTCTTGTTCCAGAATTTATGCGTTCGCTGATGAAGCTAATTTGTACTAATAAAGTATATTTTGCAAGCATATGAGTGAGAGGAAACACAGGCTTAACGTAAGAAGAAGAAGAAGTAGAAGAAAATATATTTTGCATCTATTTTCAAAAAATAAGTCAATACTGAGTTTGAAGAAAAAGGCAACAAATGATCAATAAATTCTCTTAGAATTGAAGAGGCTAGTGGATAAAAATGATATGCCAACCGAAAGCCAACCGTTGAAGAAATTATAAAAATGTATTTTCTTCCTTTTAAATGAATTATCGTTATCGAATTGTGATCGACTGACATTCAAAAGCATATTATATATGTATTCATACATTGAAAAAAAATATATCAAAAAACAAATATAACGTATCATATTATCTACTTGACTTTTTAATTATTTCTTTTATCTACATATTCTTCAACTAACTTGTAATATAATGCATGAGACACATCTTCGATGTATAATATCTTTTCCTTAATGAAAATTGCGAACTATATATACGTATAGATGAATCGTAAGGAGCAATCAAGTGCGAACTTTTCTTTTCGAAAAGGTATCTCCTGAAAAAGCGCACTTAAAACAGGAGAGGAAGTTTATTACTTTTAATTTTAGCTCAGCTTCGAATTCGAAACAGACAAAACCTCTATTATTAACCAGCTCCATTCTGAAATAATTTGATGGACTGTATTTTATACCTGCACATTTAACTTTAATCGTGGCTACCCGCCTCTCGGCTTTATTTGTCTCATACGAAGGCCATGTACAATCTTATTTCACCTTGAGTATCAGAGAGTCACATTTAGCACTAAGTGTGCGCTCAGAATGCAGACACATGACGTTACGTACAGGCCTGCGGACACTATAGTCCATTAACCGCAATAGTGCCATGCCTCTAGAATGAAGAATAAAGTGAGGTAGAGGTCGTCCGGCCAGTGTTCACGAAAGAATAATCTCGAACGAGAATATAAGTTGGCTTGATGGAATTGCGTGTAAATAATACAACAGTGAATGTCAAGATTCTATTACCATGTCATTGCTGTTAAAAAAACCAAGAATATCGTTTAAAGCCTTGGAAAAACGAATTAACTAGATGACGAAAATGCATCCGTCAAGTTACATTTACTTCAAATTGAAGATGCAACATTTAACATTATATCAATTATGATATATTTAAATTTAAATTACGTAGCTTAATCTATTCGTATCCTTCATTTGATAATATTATAAAATGCATAATGATAATTATATTAAATACATTTTGTGAACGTATCATATTCAAAATAACAAATGAAATATAAAACAAGATATATGATTTTCATTAATTAGGTGTTTTATTAAATTTATTTTTATATGTTTATTATATATATAACGAAATTTGTGTAGTGAAATAAAGAAATAAAAGCAATAAAATATAACGCAAACACATAAAAATATTTATTGTATAATATATAATTGTTATATTGGAAAATGGAATGGGAAATATATATTTTTAACGCAACTGTACATCGATAATTTGTACATAAATATATACAAATATGCCGTTCAGAAAATTCCAATTGAATGTGCGAGACCCGCATAAATATGTAATGTCATTGCACCCATGAAGAAAGTCGTGACTGCCTTAATAATAAGCGTCAACCATGGACCAGCTAATAAAAAGGATGAAAGAAAGTCTAATATAAGCGGTCTGTACACTGTAAGCAGAAGCATACCGATCACTATAGGAACTAAGCCACGTCGTAAGTCGTGTCTGGACCACAACCAAACCAACGTTGCGGTTGTTATATGTTGTACCTGTTAAAAAACATAACGCACACATAAATTTCGGCAAACTATCTTAAATTTCTACATTTCGAACATGAACAATGAATTCTCACCAAGTTGATATTTGATTCAAGACTCTTCTGGATATATTTCCAATCAAATTCTGCACCACGTGCACCAACCCAAAGTAACAGGAATCTTGTAAGCAAAACTTCTGCCCCTGCCCATCCTATACCAGCAGTCAGGACTTTGGCGTGGCCTTTGCCAGGAATACCGTTTAGTACCAACAAAATTCCTACCAAGTCTGCCAGATCGATGGAAGACTTTAAGAATTCCTGCAAACATATTTCTCCATTTATAAAGAAGTACAAGATTTTCCCATTTAGCATAGGAATTTGTAGTAATATTGCTAACACTGCAACAATGTTTATGTTATTTTGTGACATCTAATAATACATACCCCAAATATATCAAAACCTTCTTCTCCAACATTGTCAGCCGTTGGAAAAAATGTGGCAAGAGCCAGCATTTTTACAAGCTGTGTAAAAATGTAAATGCCACCCGCTTGAATGCATTTCCAAAATGCGCCGTATTCCGATCTGAAAACAATTTCTTTCACTACTTGCACTGTTCTATTTAGGTTACGATCAAAATTTTTTCTGGCGTACTTACAGACCGGAATACTTGTAAGTCAAGTAGTATGGTACATATACTAAAGCCAAACAGTTCCCGAAATGATATAACGTCATTTTTCAGTGATGTTCAGTTAATTTGTGGTGCTACCTAAGAAATGAGTCAGTCATAATAAAATTATCCACAACACACCATCATCGCGAACAACCGCGAATTACGATGAACAGTGATAGCCTAAAGATAAGCTAATTCATTGCTTTTATTAGTTCGAAAATCTTTACTACGAGTCGCTACAGTCTCGATATCATAAGCAGAGAGAAGCCTGAGAGTGGCTATAGCCGCGATAAAGCTGATACTTTATTTTGAAGCGCCTCTCTGTCCATAATTTGTGCGCGAACTACGAAGCCACAGTTTTTTGCTTCTGTTCCGTGCTATGTGCACGATTTCTTGGTTCTGTTCTATACTATATCTACGAGTGAGACCACTTAGTTAGATAAATTGTCCGTTCTTATTTAATTAAGTGATCTTACTCATAAACATAGCGAGATTGAGAACAAGGAGACAGTGCTTGCGTGATGGCACAGCGTGCTCTAACATATCAGCACTCTTATCGGTTATCGGGGCAATGATATTTCCACGAATCTCTATGGGTAAAGAAGAATTCTATTCCGAACCATAAGGACAATTTCATAAAGATCTCGTCGGTATATTGGTGAAATGTATCAATTATGTGAAAATTTTATCAGTTGAAGGATATAAATTACATTTTTATAATTAAGACTAACATAGTGTATCGTTATTAATATTTGATATTTTTAATTATTTGTGAGATGATTTAAAATGGAGAAAGAAATCGTTGAGTATATTAAGTTGCTAGGTTATGAAAAGTGCTGTGAAGAGAAAAAAAAATATATTTATATATATAAATTCTTCTATATAATATGTTTTCAATATTTTTTCCAAGTTCAAATACAAAGCTTATGAAATATTTATTTTTGAAATACCTATTATAGTTATGCGCCAAAACGTATTGTTGTTTATAACCTCGAAATATAAATTGTGCCGCAAAATTTAACATTTATAGTAAAAGAGGTTTCACTAAGAGTATTGCACGCGTATCCTAACTGCTATTATCTAGTTCGCCAGTTGGTCTTTTGTAGGGAGAGGTTTTCTCTGATGCCACATTACAGACCCCTCTTTTATATTTTAACCCCTTTGAAAGGGGTACCACATCACCCCTTTCCCCATAAAAAGGGGTAGCTGCTAAAAAAGGGTGTTGCAGCAGCAAAACTATTGACTGTGTTTCTTAATTCAGTTTGTAGCACATATATATTAGAACTTCTATATGTTCTCTTAATAAGTGTTATGGATGTAACATATGTGAATTTTCATATCAATTAAAGTGGAACTTACCAATGACATCAGTGAGTTAGATACTGACAAAGTATCTTTTACTCTTTACTGCTAATAAATGTTGGTTTGGTCAAATATTTCTCCTGTTTATAGTCAAGGGGACAGCCTTTGGTTCGCAGGATATATAATTCTCCGTCAGAGCATGCTCCGTCTTCCTGAGACCGCTGACTGCTGTCCCTTTCCAACGTTCCTGACAGAGGATACGCTTCCAGGGATTGGTTGGGAGCTGCCGTTGGTTGGCCAGGATCGTATTGGATCTACCCCACGAGCTGCTCTACGTTGGAAGGGTAGCTCAGTTTGCCACAGGCTGTCGTTGAATCTACCTCGTAGTGTGCTTTTGATCAAACAGCTGTCAGGATATCAGGATTATTAAAGGCAACTTTGAAGGTGTGTGTGTGTGTATAACATTTTAAATATATATATACTACTTTGTAAAATTAATCTACATTTATCCAAAATACATAGATTGTTGGGAGGAATCAATACCTTATTTATTGTGTTTTATTTTCTTTGTATATTCACATATATTTATCAATTATCTTAATGATACTCTCATAGTACCTGTGTCATAATCAAGAATTTCACAAAGCATATTTAATAAAGTTTAAAATACAACTGTTCTAATCTTTACTCAATAAGTAGTTGCTTAAATAAAATTGTGAACACCTTATGCACTTCTCACTAAAGATTTTTCTACTTAATTACTTGGACATATTAAAAAAAAATATATACCATTGCCACCAAATATCGTGTGTTATAAATTATTTGTAGCTGCAATATTGAAATCATACATTGCTTTCAAATGCTGTTGAAACAGATACTATGATATTCCTGTAATTTAGAAACGACTTCTCCCCCTTTCTATACTTTCAACCTTTCACCCTTTTTTATCCTTTGGGCAAGGGAAAACATCCACCCCTTTCATCCGGCCAACTCCAAAAAATGGCCTTAATGCTGTGCACTATAGCATTAATGCTTTATATATTACTTGTAAAATTGAATTTATTTATTAAATAGACCGCTTTGGACTAGTTTAATGATGAATAATTGTAAGAAATACTAGAATATCTTGAGAAGCAACACACATAATAAATACATAATACATTACTTATATAATTTTATGAAATAGCAAGTTCTTTCTATCCATACGAGGTTTTTCTACAAAATAAAAAAATTTGGTTAATACATATACAATATAAAGACGTAGAATTTGAGAGAGAATGAGAAATGGGTGGAGCTTATATTCCCTACTACTTTCCATGTAAGACTCTGAAAAAAGGGTAGTCAGTTTTATAGTGGAGCTCAAGGGTGAAAGGATGTCTAGGGTAGCTTCTTTTTTCAGTATAGTATAATTAAAAAAAAAATATATATATATATATCTGAATATTTCTCCATTTAACGCTTTTAATTGTTTTGTAATATAAGTGTCCATATGATTTTATTATATTATTGTAGTTTTATAAGTATGAATTAGATCTAAATTCATTATTAAGTAGCAGAATTTAAGTGAATTGTTTTAAACTGGTGATATATAATAATTATTATTTTTGTGTGTGTATTATAAAGGATGTACTATACACGCGGAAGGTAAGATCATTTTTATTTTCGATTTTAATTGTGAAGTTCCTTTAAAAGAATAGAAATTTCTCCTACATTCAATAGAAAACTGATTTCTATATGTTAAATAGCATTTTAATTGTGGCAGGTGAATTGTGGCAACTATCGTAATCAGTTATATGTTGTAATATGATTCATATTTGAATGATACTATTTATTTTATAATAATATGCTTTGTCTTTTATGTAAGAAATGTCTCTTTTTTCCAACTTTTGAACTTGTGACGATTGTCGATTAACGATGAATTATCATTCATCTTATTTGATAAAGTTTCATAAAAATATTTTTACATAGATAATTTTTTAAAATCTTTATTATTAAAATATATTTCTATGTTAAATATAAATATGTCTTCCATATTTATATTACATTAATAATATTAATACTACATAATCATGTGTTCTTTGTGTATGTGAATTATATATATATATATATATAAAATATTCCTGTATAATTTTTGAAACTATTGATTTTTGGGGTTCTCTTGGAGACCCGGATACAGGATTCGAGTGATGTACGTACGATGGCGCTACAATTGATTTCTCACGATACGTTCGTCTCAGCCGATATAATTGTAGTATCTTGTAATCGCAACAGATGACGGACTATTGACTTTATGATATTTTGCAAAACAATTTTGCACAGTTTCGCTATAATACCAAAAGTAATTTTTGGCAACACGGTTAATAAACCTTTCTTACTAAAGTAATAAACAGTATAATGTAGAAGATAAGAAATAAGTTGTACTTGTTATTTATAATGTTGTTACTACATTATTATTCACATTTAGGCCAAATTTAGTCCACTGTCGAATTATAAAATAGTTGATTTAACTCTTATACAAATATTCGGTCACTCATCTATTACGATCAAAGAAGCAATCTATTCCTCGCATTATCACCGAGCGCGTACAAATGGCTCTTTTGCCCAAACTTGTAGCTTTCCAGTGCTTCTCTCGGACTTACCTTGGATTTAGATTCGAGGGGCTGAATCCTGAGACGCGAACATCCCTCTCTCTCTCTCTCTCTCTCTCTCTCTCTCTCAATCCCGAATTGTACGCCTTTGTCGTTTTCCCTTCTCCTTGACAGACCCGCGCGTTCGACGAAAGCGTGTTTGCATTTCCCTCCCTGGGGATGCTTACGGGGGAGCGCGCAATTTCGGAAAGCCGATTTCAATTCCGCTCTCCTTTTTACAGGGTGAAACGAAAGCACGAGTGAAAGCCGCGCGGGATTACGGGAATCGCGTAGACAGACCCGTGAACACGTGCGAAAATCTCGCGTCTCGACGTTTGCACCCACAGCATCGATCGTTCCTCCCGTTTAGCGCTCCTCGTCGGGAAAATCGGATCTCTCCATTTCTCCTTTCATTCCCCCGATGAGTTACGCTTGACTTGCAAAGAAAATGAATGAATGCTACGATATCTCTGATTCACGATAGAAATTTGGCGCGGAATAAATGAATTCGCTGAGAAACATGAATAATCATAAGAATATGACACTTGTGAAACATCTCGAATTTTATTTTACGTGCATCGTTACATATTGTTTATGTAACAAAATTGCTTCTTTGTTGGAATGTCTGGAATTTTAAGAGAAAATGTTCCGCTCGCTCTGTTCGCATTACGTAAAACAAAATATGATATACGTGAATTATTACTACGAAATTTGATTACGTCAATTATATCGTTCGCGCATGAAGTTGCGACAGACGGTCTCGGTCAGACGTTCTTTTCTACTGACGCCAGGACGGTGTATAACGATGAGCCTCGTTTCCTTTTCCGGTCTTCATGATTTTCGCACCGTCAACTCCATTCTTCCGTGTTCTGCCTCCGTATGTTAGCCCCTTCTTCTCCCTTGTACATCGAAGGTTTCCGCCCCTTTATGTCGATTCTCGAAAACTCGATCCTTTAAGGGTCCTTGTCATTTGTAGTTCTTGACGTCACTCGCTTCTTGCACGAGAAAGCTGATCTTTTCATAAATATCGTCTGCTCTTATACAGTTTTGTGCGCACACACATATAGCTTAAAAGACATACCGGAGTGAATATTGCGGTAAAAAGGAAAAAATATAACGGAAAAGTTTATAGAACTACCATAACGACCGGACGAAATTTTTCGTCGAAAAATTCCAGAAAATCGCTTGTTCCCCGGACGCCGAGTTGTCTGAACGCTGAGACACGGGAAATTCCTCGGAACGATGTTT